CCAAGGTTTCTGCTATTATTATTTCTTGGGGCTCCACGAGAAACTTTTGTTTTAAAAAGGGCTCCACAGCTGAAAAAGTTTGAGAACAACTGGCCTAGTGTAGTAGTTTGAATGTTAGACTGGGACATGGAGAATCCAGATTTGAATTCCTGCTCAGCTGTGATACCCCACTGGGTGGTCCTGGATAAATCATTATCTCAGCCTCAGCAGAAAGCAAAGGTAAAACCCCACTGAACGAGCCTATATGTTTGTCTTAGGATCACTATAATTCAGAAATTATTTGAAGGCATACAACAACAGTAACATTTTTTCCTGATCCAGCTTTCTCATTCCGCACAAGCCAGGACAAAATAATCATTGCTAGCAAATCCAAAGTAGCAATTCTGGTTTCAGCATTTGGCTACAGCTATGGACACCAGGGTTTGATTCCCCACTCAGCCATGGGAACCTTGACAGTGATCTTGAGCAAGTCAAATACATTCAGCCACAGATATATTTGTATTAGGGTCATCTGTCAGGAGTACTTTGATTGTGCTTTTCCTGCATGGCAGGAGGTTGGACTAGGTGGCTCATATGGTCTCTTCCAACTCTATGATTCTATGAAATGATTTAAAGGCACACAACACCAAAGGCCATGTAGTAAGTGGTGATGCAACTGTATCAGCACCCCCAGCTGAAATCCCTTATCATTTATATTCATTTATATGTCTATTGATCATTCCAGCTTCCATTTTCACCAATTTCAGGCAGTACAAAAAATCTGAATAAAACAAACATTTTTTTTAAAAAAAGTAGTCTATAAATATAATAAAATCACAAACTTTCTAACACAGAGAGCCAGCCAAGCATGAGGCAGAGTGAAGGAACCACTTCAGGCAGCAGATATGGAAGGGCAGCTTTGGCAGTCTGTCAAACATTCCTCTCCTGTCCCCTTGCCATTCTCATCCTTGGAAAGAATATAGTGCTGTGTTTGCTACACAGCCTGACCTACACCCCCTAAACTATCATGTTGCCCTCAGGATCAATGGATGACACTATTACTATCAATGCCTGTGGTATACTCAATATGCTTTGAAAGCATAGCAATGCATACAAATGTCTTTCAGCAAAGGGATGTTGTAAAGATGGATCTGAGCATGTGATTTGTCTTGCAGGCTAACCTAATGCGTGTCATCGTGAATTCTTTAGTGGGAATGACTATATTACAAATGTATTAAGTAAATATTAAAAGATCTAATGAAGGGAGGGTGTTTGACCTAAGCTTTCAAAAATGCAGGAGTGAATGATCCATGATCAGTTTTTAACGAAGCTAATCTTATTTGTAGAACTGTATCACTGGTATATGGCCAGTCTTCACTATAATCCTGCTCTACATTCAAAGAACGGCATTAAAAAAAAGACAATTGGAATGAATGAAAAGTGCAACCAGATGCACGTGAAGAGCAGTATAAACATACACCATGATCTTTAACCATAAAGTTTTGCATTTAGTAAGTGGATTGGTAAATAATTTTTATGTCACAAACTATGAAACACAATATTGTTTCCTCTCTTGGAACTGGGTGGGTGGAGGGACTCCTTGGCTGTGTTCATTTGGATTTTCTTGTTACAGTCATTGGCTAGAAGACAAGATAGTGACTGAATAGTGGATAGACTGTAATACCTAGCAAAGGGAATCCATAGACAACCAGAGAATGAGTTCAAACTTTCTATTATTCAGGCGGATATGGCCATTTGGACATAAAAGAAATAAGACAGAAGAACTAAGCAAATGAGATAGTTATTTTCACATTAACTTATATATAAAGTAAATTTGGACAAGGTCTTTCATTCCATAACAAGCCTTATGTGTGACTTCCTATTACAATTGTTTGGAAATTGCAGCTGGTGCAGAATGCAGCAGCCAAATTTCTCTCTGGGGCATACTTTTCAGAAGTAGACAGGTCTCTATGTACTTGATAAGCAATTTGATACTTATTTAGTACACCTTACCTACATAGCTGATTGTTAGGCTATCTGAAAGATCACCTCCTTTCTTATCAATCTGCCTGTATATTAAAATCTTCAGATGTTTTCTTGTATGTCCCATTACTAAAAGTGGTCTGCTTGGTGAGAGCACAAGGTAGGGTCTTTTCTGTAGCAGCACCTCTGGTTATAGAATTCTTGCTCGCAATGTGATGTGGTACTATGTGTGATGTGAAGGCAGTGGAAATGTTACTCCACTTGGCTTTTAGTGGTTTAGTGTTTTTTAACAGATTATTGAAAATCATTTTAAAAAACAGACAACACAAGAATAAAAACAGATAAAACAGAAATTAGCTTCAAAAAGGGAGGAGGAAAATCCAAACATTTCTAAGCAATAATGTAAATCAGGATATATGGCCTTTGGTGTGCAGATAATGATGACTGGTAACCAATGAATTCTATAATTAATCATGTTTTGTCTCTTATATAGTTAGAGAGCTTAGTCATTACAGCCACAATTTTATGATTCATTATGCCATGTTAGGTATAGCCAGTATCTTCTAATATATGAAAAGAAAGACATGTCTCCAACTATTCAGATTTGACCAGTGCAGTCCAAATTAATCTTCTGGCATCCCATATTTTTCAGCTGCTTTTGAAATATCACAGTTTCTCTCACCTTCTCCCACTTACCCCTTTGTTCTCAGCTAACTTCAATTTCTGCAAATTACATTCAGTTATTCGCACTTAGTTAATTCAATGGGGAAAAGGAGAGGGGAGAATGTTATTTTGTCTTTCTAGAAGGATTGGGCAAAAGCAAACTGTTGCAATCTCTCCTTGCTTGTATATTCTCTCTCATTAATCATGTTTACCATTTTGACCACATTCTGATGTTGCTAAACCAAACATGCCCTAACTTGTAAAATGTTGAAGGTTGTGGGGTGATTGACAGATTTAACTTGCTCCTTTTCACTTTAAGTTTTAATTATGTGTGATTTGGTTTTATTCTTTTTTAGTCTTGCAACAAAAAACAAAAACAGAATGGGGTCTTCTTGGGGTTAGAAAATGATATAAAATGTCTTTATAAATAAGTAACAGTGGGCATGATAGCCCATGAACCTTGTCCAGTTGAGTATGTGAAGCCACAAAAGAATGAGTTGCCCATGTGCATTCAACAAATCAACACCTGTGATGGTCCTTCAAAATAGTGTGCAATGACTGCTACTCACCTCTGGTTATAAATTGCTTCAATTCTGGGCACTCAATAGTATAAATAGTATAAATAGTAAAAAGGCTCTATGAAATTCATGGGGTTGCCATAACCTGACAGGCATATTGAAACTGCTTTGGATCCAATTTGGGGATGATGACAAACAACAACCATCACCACCCATTGGGATCATCCAGTAAGATCTAGCAATGTTGTTGTTCATTCATTCAGTCACTTCTGACTCTTCATGACCTCATGGACCATGCCAGAGCTGATGATATTCAACTTTAGTGCACAACATAAATTCATTAACAGTGGAAAAGTATCAACAGTCAACATAACACATGCCTAATGTGATGTTTATTTATGCCTTGTCTTAAAATCTGGCCACATACTTTAATACATATTACATTCTTCTGTTGCATTTATAATATATCAGCTGCCTCTAGATAGCCAGATTTGTGTAGTGATTTAAGTACATAGCTAAGAGTTAACCTCGGACAAGTTACATTCTCTCAGACTCTGGGTCCTTCCACACAGCCCTATATCCCAGAATATCAAGACAGAAAACCCCACTTTGAACTTGATAACCCAGTTCAAAGCAGATATTGTGGGATTTTCTGCCTTGATATTCTGGGATATAGGGCTATGTGGAAAGGACCTCAGAGGACGGCAAAAGTAATATCACTTTCAACAATTTTTGCCAATAAAACCCCATGTAGGTTCTCTCCAGGGTCCCCACAAGTCAACTTGAAGGCACACAACAACAAAGCTTCAATTCTGGGCACTCAATAGTATAAATAGTATAATATTCTCAGATAAGGACTAGAGGCCCTACACATGTGTCCCATTGCAAGAGCTGTTTGAATTGAGGGGTGGGGTGTTTGGCATTTGCTGTCATTTTGTCATAATTCAACTCAACCTGGTCTCAACATGATAGCTCTCCAACCAGACACTTGTTTACTTTGCTTCTTAACTGAACTAGGACTCTGGTGGAGCTGTTATTTATTTATTTGATACACTTATATACCGCAATATCTCAGCCGAAACGGCGACTCATTGCGGTTTAACAACAGTTTAAAAAACACTATACGATTTAAAACAGCAACACTTAAAAACAATACATATTACTATTTTTACATATAGTAAATACATATTACATATTACTACATATTACTAATATGTAATATGTATTTACTATTAGTAAATACATATTACATATTACAATACATATTACATATTACTATGTTATTATTTTTAACTCTTTATTTTGATTAACTGGGTTTTGTAAATCAATATTTTATGATGTTTACTAATTATTAAGTATTGAAGTACACAATCTAGGTAGGTTTAATAGTAAAGAGGGAGCAAATACTTCAATATATAAATGAGATGCTAGTCAATTCTAAGAGGTATTGTTCTTTTGTAGCAGAGGCATATATATACCTATGTATATAGATAGAAAGATCAAGCAGCATTGTTCAACATTCAGACACAATTCCTAGTTCATTTGTCTGTCTGGAGTCTGCATCCACATAGACTGATTGAAAGATTGCCTTTTCTTTCTCACACATAAATACACACCCTGCCATTCCCTTTCAGAAACAAAACCAGTCTGTGGCTTTCATAATCCCACATGCCACCTGAACCCCTCCCTCCATCCCCCCTCCCTGCACAGAAGTCGTGCTGCACCCTGAAAACCTGCAAAGAAAAATGATGATTATCAATCAGATTTTATCACCCATTGGGCATCCATGCTCTAAACCTGCCCTTCTTGAGCCACTGTGACTCTGGAGGTGAAGAAAATCAATAGAGTGCTCTTTACCTGCTGGACAGTCTGGAGCACGCTGGGCTTGGCATTTTCAGCACACAGACCCTTTTCCTTGTCTGGGTCTGCTTTCCCAGCTCGCTTGCATTTGCACAAGCAGGTGAGACCGCATAATGCAAGGATGCTTGTAGCTGTCCCCAAGGTAGCTCCCAGAGCAATGACCGGAATAGACAAAACCATTGTCCCTGAATAGGAAACCTCAACTTTACTCAGCCAGCATGGTTGTCCTTCATCTTCTGGCAGGATTTTTGCCTGATTTTAGCCTCTTTGGATGACTGGAATAGATCCTCCTCAGCAGTTGCTATAGGAAAGTGATTCAAAAGAAACTAATGGATCTCTCCTACATTGTTAGGCTGTGACAGATGATCTATCCATCCTTCCTGCTGGTATGTCTGTCTCAATGCTCTGGGGGAAGAAGCAAACAGAGGCAGAGCGCTTCCAGTGCCTGCAGTCTCTTTAAGACTGCAAGCAGGCAGCTTTCATTGAAACGCTTTCCCCAGCCCCAGTGGGAAAACTCTGATGTGCGAGAGAGTCAGACGTCAGCAAGAAGGGGATGGGCCGTGTACCGACCAACTCATTGAAAGTAAACCCAAGCCACCAAGTGACCCTTTAAAGGGGCTTGCTGCAAATAGCCCCAGCAAAGTATGCTGTTATTTTGCAATTTGGAACTGCAGTTAATTAAACAAAGTGGGTATATAATAAACTGGGTCAGGCTGATACCTGCATAAAGCAGAGGGAAGATACAACAGGTTATTCTTCATGCCTTCCCAGCAATTTAGTTCAACTGATCCAAGGCAAACCCAGCAAAACTGTGGACCTTATTGCATGAGGGAGGCAAACTTGCATGCAACCTTTGATGATGGTCCCTATAGCATGATGCCATGCACATCCCACTGCTGGTCTGCCCCGTCTCCACATTAATTGCTTTTCCATTACAGACAACCAATTTCACAACAATCCTGTCACCTTTTTGATGTGATGGGTTTGTTTCTTGCTTCTGTACTGGCATACCAGCACTGAAGTGATAAGGGTAGGCTTTTCCTCCTCTCTTGCTTCACATCACACTCTCCTGGCTATTCCTGAGCTGGTAATATTTTAATATACAGTAATATTTGGTGTGCTTTCTAAATTCACCTGGAATTGTAAAATTGCTTATGTATTTTTTTAATAAAAAAAACCACATAAAGCATGGACGTGCAAGAAGGCAGAGTTATGAGGTTATAGAGGTATCAGTGTGGTGCTACAGCATATCAGTATACACTGAGTGATGTGTTATAATGAAGGTGCTCATGTCGGAATGTAGATGCTGTCATTGATCTCATGGCTGCTGTGGAATAGCAACATTGTGCAATAATGTCCTACATAGGATACTGAAGTAGCACATATGACCATGCAGTAATAATTGAATTTTCTGTGTTTCAGTTTCCTGTTCTGTCAGAAATCAAAGTGTGCTTATGCCTTTCCTTATTCCTCCTTATCAAGTCAGAATGGATATATATGGATATCAGACAAAATAAAACTAGTGTTCTTGCAGTTTTCTGGTATCATTACAGTGATAAAATATAAAACCAAGATACCATGTAATCTCTGATATGGGCCACAAAAGTATCTAATCTAACCTTTTGACATGCCAAAAAACACAACTATGGCACTCCTAAAAGATGCACACCCAACCTTTATATAAAAAGGAGAGGCCGCAATCCTATGGTTCTATTCCACTGTTGATTAATTCTTAAAGAAGTTTTTAAAGTTTAGGTGGAATCACTTTTGTTGTAATTTGAAAATCACTGGACTGCATTCTAGTCTTTGGAGCAAGAGAAAACAACTTCACTCCATCTTCAGATATTGTGTGATCTTGGGAGCTAAATAGGATCAGCTTGGAGGGGATACTGCCAAAAAAAATACCAGGGGCTGCAAGCTATATGTCAAAAGAGGACAGAACAGCCCCCTCCCTCCTGACCTTCAGAAAGAAACTGAAATCCTGGCTTTGGAGTCAGGCATTTGCAGATTGATGTATTGAACCGGTAAAGACTAAGAGTTGTTGGACCACAATGTTTGGATTGAGTTGGATGATGTTTTTAACTCGGAAAACTGTCTTTTATATGTATTTTATAACTTATTTATTATCCATGTTGTTTTTAAAATATTATTAATTGTGTAGCATTGATTTTTTGCTGTTGTTAGCCATTCTGAGTCCGTCCACGGAGTTAGAGAAGAATGGGATATAAAACCTCTAAATAAATAAATAAATAATCATATCTGAGTACTCCTTACTTATGAAAACCCAATGTAATCCATGGGAGTACCATATGTCATCTTGAACAAACACATGCACACACATTATTTTACCTCTCAGCTTTTCCCTCAACTCAACATAATTAAATTGTTTTTTATAAGTATGGTATACAGTTCTTGGATCATCTTGGTCACTCTGCTCTGCAAATATGCTTCTTTTCAATATGTTTCTTGAATTGTGGTGTCCAGGACTGGACACAGTTTTCCAGGTCAGTTCTCAACAGGGCACAATACAGTGGCACTACTACTTCCTTTGATCTGGGCACTGTGACCTAAATCCTATAGTTAGTTCCATTGAATCAGTGGGGACCCATCCAGACAGGGCCCAAAACATGCAAGCTTGTGCACTTTTACTGGAGGCATCCAAATAACGCCTCTGGTAAAATCAAATTAATTTGTGACAAAGCAGGAAAACTCTGCTCTGTCCCAAATTATTTTTACACCTTGAAAGACCATGATCTTTCATAAGATCTGGGTTTATTTCAGATGTGGGCCCTGTGTGGATTGGGCCTGGGGATCATACAATGCACAGTCCACACAGCCGTCTTGGGATTTCCAATCTGCTGGAGCCTAAAAAACCTAAGACAGCACCCACCCCATCCCACCCCCACCCCCACCCCCCAAAGGGCCTAAAAATGAAAAATTACACACCACAAAACTGCTACTGGAGTCTTCCTGGTGTGTAGAAATAACACACTAGGAGAGAGAGGGCGAGGAGGTAAATCACTCCTTGCCCCCCCCCTTCCTGGCACATCATTTCTATGTACTAGGAGAACTCACACAGCAGAGCATCTAGATATCCCACCCCCCTCCCAAAGTGAAGGTTTTGGGGGAGGTGTGGGGACTGTAACCTGCACCCAATTAGATTTCTTAAACCCGATTGGGTGTGGATGAAAGGCCTGTCTGAAACCAGCCAGGGATTTGTGTATGTGTTGACTCACCACTCAACAGTTAGTTGAATTGGTCTAGTCTAGTTGGGACTAGCCAAGAGGATATCAGTCTATGTTCATTTGATGCTGCCAAGAACTGCATTGGCTTTTTGATCACCATTTCAGATTATTGATTTATGCTAGTCAACTAAGAACCCTAGAACTCTTTTATCATGTATTGCTTTAGCTCAGTATTTCTCAAAATGTGCTCCTCCAGGTGTTTTGGACTTCAGTGCTCAGAAATCCCAGTCAATTAGGAATTGTGGGAGCTGAAGTTCAAAACATCTGGAGGAGCAGAGTTTGAGAAACATTGTTTTAGTTTATTGATTGACTGACTGATTGCAGTTGTATGTGTCTTTCTCCCAGAGTGGGACCCAAGGTGGCTAGGTGCTTTCAGGCCACAATCTGTTCCTGGTCTTGTTTTTGCAGAGGGAATGGTCCAGTGCAGCCTAGTGCTATAGCTTTGACAAATATTTATCTTTTTATTTGCAATTGTTGAAAATGTGATGTAACATTCTTACATTATTGTGATTTTAACCAGATGCCCCCCCCCCCCCAAAAAGCTAGAAGGATGTCTATGAAAGAGAAAACCCATTTAGTAGTGGCATAATATCTTATGGAATGCCCTCCCAGAGAGGCATACTTAAACATGATAATATTTCTGACAACAGTTAAAGTCAACTGGCATTTACTTAATTTTTTAAAAAAAGTATTTGAATACCACTGCTGCTATTATTTTAGTTCGGGAATCATAACTTTCTGGTAGTATCTTGGTTTTATATTCTGCTTCAGTCATTGCTTGTTAGTTTTTGGAAAAAATACCTTCTTATTCTCAACAGCTTACTTATGAGTCACACAATGTTGGTTACTGGGCAATTAAAATGCATTAAATAAGCAAATAAAATATTTGGAGTCATTCTCATATTGGAAATTGAGCACTGAAGACTAAGCAGAATATTCAGAAAGATCAACTGTAATACAATAATTTACGAAGTGAGCAGCTTGGCATGCAGCATCAGGAACAAGGTGATCAAGCTGTGACAAGGTTCAGTACCCAGTTGTACTTCCAAATTATTCAAATATAGTAATAAAGGACACTTGGAATTCATAACAAGTAGGACCAACAATCAGGAAATAAGTATTAACATGGTTGTGTTCTCCTCTAATACCAAATGAAAGTATTGATTTCCATTATTCTAGCCATGTAATTCCCAATAAAATTAAAACATTCTCCACATTCATAAATAACATGATGCACACATTTTTGTCTTGAAGACATGTGAGCCTGCCCAAGCTCTGCCTTCATAGAAGGCTTCCTCTGTGGCTTCTCCAACACTTGGGAACACTAGCCTGGAGAAGTTAGGATGGCTCTTGTTTTCTTTTCAGTGGCAGGTTAATAATTTTTTTCCAGCAAGCTTTGAAAACTGATTTTTAACAAAAATAACTGCATTGTTTTTAGTCTGTTTTATAGTAAAATTTAATTGATTTTTGTCCTATTGCCATTTAATCTTGATGTTGTATGTTCTTTATTAAGTGGGGATTTTATACAGCATGGTGGTATGTTCCCTCAGGTAGGAAGAGGGAACATACCCCCATGCTTTTTATTTTTATTTCCTTTCCTTCTTATTTTTAAGAGGTTTTGTTTGGGGGGGGGGGGGGGTGGATGGCCACATGCCATCCCAGAAGTATTTGGGGTGGCGTGTGGACAACCAAAGGGGAAACCCCTGCCTGCATGGATTCAAATCCCCTTTGGAACAGGTTTCTTAAATCCATTTGGTTTAATGTATGTGTGGAACTGCCCAGAGTTTCATAGGAGGACCTAGAAATGTTCTGGACAGACATCCTCTCTAAGAATTACAAGATCCTCTAGAGAGACTCTATGGTAACATCCAACATTTCAATGGGGTTTTCTATAATGTATAGTTTTCTGTTTCCAGAGTAAATTCAGGAAGCATTCCCTGCAGGTACAGGGGCCATATTGTACTTAGCCTTTTATAAGCTGCCTTGAGTCTAAGAGTGGGAAAAGGTAAGATATAAATAAAATTATAGACTGATGGAAGGGCTCACATCCCTAATACAAGATTTTTTGCTACTTGTTCGGTCCATATAAAAGCAATATCCCTCAAACAGAGAACATTCATTATAATAAGGACCACCAGTGACCCTAAAAGAGGCAAGTTTTCTGTCCTCAAATTTAGGGGCCTCTCCTATAATAAAGGGCACCTGCTAATCCTATAAGGACCACCTTTTCTAGACTTCAACTAAGGGCCATCTTTTATAAAAGACACCTGGCAACCCTAT